TGTCAACACCCACCCGGGGCGGGGAACCCACCACCGGCCCCGGGGGGACACCGGTAGATGCCCGAAAAGCCCGAGGGCGGGAAAACACCTCATTTTTACCTCATGATTTTGTCGGCGGCAGCCAGGAGTCCTCTACCGGAGCGGGAGCCGAGGAGGCGGTTGTCATCGGGGGGCCTGCGGAGACTTTTTGAGGGCTGCCTGGCCCCCCAAATTACGGAGGCGAGGGGGTGCAGAGGGGGCCGCTCGCCCCCGGGGCTGGGGGAGCGGGAGAGGGAAATGGCCGCCGGCGAAGCCGGGGGTCGCGGTGGCGGAGCTCCGCGTTCAGCGTGGGATTCGAGGCTGCCGACGTCTCCTCGCCGGCGTCGCTCACGTTTATTTCTTCACGGCTCCTTTTCTGGGAAGTCTTTTTGGGCGCCCAAATTGCCATCGTACGGACCCCTGCGAGGCGGGGGATGGATGCTGAAGCAAGGAAGCGCAGGTAAATGTCACCCCAGCGGTAAAGCCCATCTTCCCTCAGACACACCAGAATCCCTTCGCTGGCCGTTTCCATGTTGGGTGAGGAGGAACGTGGGACCACCGTGAGGGAAAGATGGTTTAAAAATAACATAGAAGCAGCAGCCAGGGGTGGGGAGGGATGTAGGTCTTTATTCGGACTCGCTTTCTTCTGCAACTGCCTGGACTCGTGTTGGACCAAAAAACCTCGTTTATGCTCCGAGAGCGGGAAGTGCAGGAGGCTTTGCGATGGAGCAAGGGGTTTTGGTGGGAAATGGGCTTCAGAGCATCATCGGGAATGGGTGCACGTTAACCGTGAGCCTGTATGTCCCTCACAGGGCCAAAATCCACGATCCACAGCAGCGACCTGGTGTCTGAACAAGTCAGAGGCTCATGAGGGGATTGAGGATTCGTGGAGGAAGACCGTAAGGGATGCAGGTACACCTTAAACAGTCCCGTGGTGAGCCTTGCGTTACGTCTGCCACCACTATAGGAGGCATACGTGCCTAATGCCCACCCGAAAAGAACCTGTGTTTTAAATTCAGACTTTTTCACTCCTCACTGAGACTTTTTAACTGAGGAGTAGGTTATTTTTCCTCCTGTCACCCTCACACCCCCCCATCTCGATCCCTTCCCAGGACGCCGTGCGTATAGTTACATTGGACGAACACATATCATTTTTGTTACGACTTGTTTTACCTTAAGCACATATATCTGATTTAAAAATAACAATTCCCGGATCGGGGAACGCCAGGGGAGATGTAAACATCCAGCAGCCGCCGGGCCCTCGCAGCGCCCGTGGTCCCTACGGAGAGAAACGCTGCCGCCTCTGCGGAAAGTTCGAATCGTCTTGCACCGCGAGAAAACCCGTGGTGTCGTGGCTGGTCAGCTATGTTACAAATATTTCCGACCAAACCAACAGATCTTTCCCAAACCCGTTGGCAAGGGCACAAGAGTGACGGCAGGCAGAAAATCGCTTTATTGAGTTACTTGGGAGTGACGGACAAAACCGTTAAGAGTGAAGCGGCCAACGTGAAGCGCCGCAGATGTTTCTTTCAGGCAGAAACGTGCCGGTTTCGGAGGGAAGCGGCCCTGGCTGCCCGCGGGAGAGGCCAGCCGCCATGTTGGGTCGCGCAGGCCCAGCCCACTGAACGCCTTCTGCAGGGGGATCGGTTTTGTTTGCAGGGCTGCGGGGTCAACCCCGCTTTTGTACCGAGGCCGCCCTTTCAGGCCGGTGAAGAACCGAGCTGGAGGCTTTTAAGCAGGCCGCGGTAATGCTTCCCTCACCGGGCACCGGACGCAAGGCGGGAAGGGGGAGCCGCGCACCCCCGGAACGACGGGCCCCGGCAGCGGCGGGTGGGGGGACGGCGGTAGTGGGACACCGTGAGGCGTTTCCGGCCACCGCCGGAAGTGCGCGGGCCCGTGCGCCGCCGGAACCTTTCTTCTCCGCTGCGGGGGCCGGTTTTCGCGG